CCCCAAAACCCCAAAACCCCTTAAGCTAAGTATCAATTTAATATAGAGGATAATTTAAAATAATGAATTAATAGAACATACATATATATTCCTATGTTTTAAGACTCCACTGAGTGCAAATCATTTCTCTCCACCATATAATATGCCTAATATTTTATCTTTAAATTCATTTCTATCATCATTGGGGTTTCCTTCGAATATGCCAATCTCTCTCAGTCCTTCATCCTCAGCATCTAGATCTTATTCATCTGTATCAGCATCATTGTATTTATTGAAGCCAAAATTCTTGATAATCTGCTAGTCCTCCTTGATAGTTGAGAAGGCAGGGTTTGTAGCAAACTTTAGTTTCAGTTTATCATAAATCTCATCTACCTTGTACAAATATTACTTCTTATAGTAGTAAACATAAGTGTATGAGAGTGCACCCCCAAGTATTAAAGAGTACCCTAACTCCTTGTATAGTTTGCTAGTCATTGGAGTCCTCATTGCAAATCCACAGAAAAATACAAACCCTATAGTTAATTATTTAAGATTTAACCTATAACTTACCAGAGACTAGAGTTGTAAAAGGTACGAAGTCAATACTACCAATATAATCTTATCTCTTTGATTCCAAGTCATAGAATATATTGTTTCCCAGCTTCATTGAGTGTTAATCAAGAAAAGCTATTTTCACATCATAAGTGATTCTAGTCGAATTGAACTTCCTAATAATTCTTTCCCTATGTTTTGAGAACAAGGTCAATTTATTCAGGTATTTTTATTGAGTACTGTCCAGCTAAGAGAAGTCAAAGTCCTTATAGGCAGGTCTCAAAGAGTCTCCTTTTGCCAACATACGATGAATTATGTTTTGTTCGTCCATTTTATTGATAAACTTGAAATTAATAGAATTAATGATAATTAAAAATAAGGCTGAGACTTTATTATAAAATTTAAATTAAATTATAATTAAGTTAAAATTAAATTTTGAAAAATGTTGTCAGCGGATAAAAATGTCACATTAACCGAATTCCAGATTCAAACTCTGCAAATTCGAGAAAAAGAGCTCAATTACTTTGTTAATTTGTATAATTCAATCTCTGGTAACTAATCAATCTCCAATTTCAAGGGAATAATTGATGATATGTAGGAATTGCGGCAATGCTGGCTGGATTTGGCTTTTCATCATTAAAAATGAACTTCCCCCCATCTACTCCAATGATTCTAGAAATAGTTTACTTAGCAGTCACAGCCACAGCAATAGGTCTAGAATTGTGTGCTATTTTGAATTCTGCTTGCTGTTCTGTTTTTGGTAAGTCTGTATCCATTGACAAAAAGGTGAATGGGATAACACTTAGATCATTTCTATAATCATAAAATCATTGGAAATGTGAAACATAAAAACATTTACAAAAGGCATAATTTAAACTCTTATTATCTAATGATTTTATGAAGGTCAAAAATGGATTGAATTACTTTTATAGGGCCAGGAAAGTTCTTAAGGGGATCTGGAGGTCTGTAATCTGCTGAAAAGGCTGTGCAAGTTCTAGAGGATAAATCTGAGATCACATAAACATATTTTATGACAGGATTATACTGCATTGTAATTTCAAGTGCTCTTAAAGCCTTTATATTGTACACATTGTGGAATGCTTGCATTGTAGCTGCTGGACTTGGGGTAATGTCATATATACTTGTGACTTCAGGTAAAATTTTAAATTTTCAATGGCATTTATCAATAGGAAGGAGAATTTTCAACAACATGTATGTAGAGAAAGATTAGGCTATCAGGGGAAGAATCAATAAAGATCAAGTAATCGATCCAACTAATATTAAACTATAATGATGATTAATTTCATCTGTCTGGGACAACACCATAACTGCTTAATCTCTTATGCCTTTTTTAACAACCTTATATATTTAATGACCATGACTTGTAAAAAATCATCACCTTGGGGTTTTGGGGTTTTGGGGTTTTGGGG